ATCTCCACCTCCAACTCCCCACAAACCCTTCCCATCGCCTCCTCAACATCGAAACGTCATTTCAGGCGGCCCGTTCGACCTTCAGCCATATTAGCTCGGATAATCGCTGCCCATTTACTATCGGGTCTCTCTAGTTCCTGGCGTAAAATATCGCCGATGCTGAGGTGATAGATGCGATAGCGATGATGTGGGTTGGATTCGGATGATTGGGTGAGGAGCGTGCATTGTGTGCCTTTTCCGGTGCCGGGGGGTCCTAGGATGAATATTATTTTTGGGTGTGGGGAGTGGGGTGGGGGCATGATTGATGATGAAGGATGATGGTGTAGGGGGGAGTTTTGGTTGATGTTGAGAGGTGGTGTTATTTTGTATATTGTAAGTGGATATATATCTTCGTAGAAGAGAGTTTTGTAGACTCTTGTTGTTTGTATATATGGTATGAAGTTGAGTACCGTATGCTTCAGTACTTTGGCCACTGGCTTTCTTTATAAAGAGATGGAGGGAAAATTTCGATATGCCAATGATCACAATCACTCTCCCGATAGGAAATTACATCGCTCAATTCCCGAGATATACCGTCATTGCTATCAATCGGGATATTTCGGAGGAAATTTGAATAAGAGGATGGAAAAAGTGAATCAATCATCGAAGATTATTTTTCCATCAAGAGATTGATTTATCACGCCGCTTGGCCATTAAATGTGGTAAGCGAGGGGGTATTAATACACTTCTTTTGGTGGAAACTAACCATACAAATCAGCTTTAAGAAAACAACAAGCCAATGCAGATAGGAAGAAGAAAAATATGGTAAGACCCTTGCCGTCCTGTCGAATATGCAATTTTTCTCCACTCCAAGGACCGACCCGATGTGACACTCCTAGCCACTATGTTAACGTGCCGGTACGCTTTACTTTACTTCTCGGCCAGGCATATTCGTCGACGAAGGGTATGTTGTATTTGGGATTACATACTAAGTAGGTAGAAGAAAAACACATGAGTCTAAGATTGAAAACAAGTTGGGTACCGCGGGCTTGTGAATTTTATCTCATTTTCATACAAGATTGGAACGGCATTGGAGGAAATTCCCAATTTTATATTCGAGTAGACTGTGTCAAGGTACATTGGGGTTCGTCTTCATATATACATACATACATACATACATAGTATCTCATGCTCACAGTTCACTTAATACAATGATTGATTCAAATGGGAGTTTGGGTTAACAAGTATTAACTTGAATTTTAGAAGGTGCTCATCCTATACTTGCGTTGTAAGCGGGTTTCTCTTGCCTCCTGGTTTTTTGGATATACTTGTACGAAGTAAGCCCGATTTTATTCTTAGTTTATTCATTTATCTGTATTTTTGTTGAACACAGAAATGGATGATATACTCCAGCACTATATTGGATTAAGCGGGTTTCCCCTGATTGTGTTATATTCCTCGAACAGAGGAACAAAGGAATATAAGATAAGATGTTATATCGAACAAGGTAGTCGAGTAACATCTCAAGGATATGACAAAGGAAATCAATTGAGAGAAGGGTGAGAGTTTGCTCTTTTTTACGATTGTTACGATTGTTACGATCGTTCTAATTTTTCTGATTTTTCTGTTTTGAAGTCGATGATGAGGTTCTAATTGTAAGACTTAGTATAATCGATTTATATAAGGATAGCTTTGAAGACTGGAATCAAAGATACTCTATACACTGTGTATGTGCACTATTTGTGACTGCGAGTATGAGGATGGAAATATTTACCTAGTAATTGTATGAAAAGACATTCACGGAGATGATATATGTTCACGCGCTCGATCACTAGCAACATTTAAAGTCATTGTCTTCATTTGATCTAACAATCTAATAATTTAACCCTATAAGGTTAAAGAACCCGAAGACATATGAACACTTCTTCAAGTTAAAATCATTCAAAGAACCTTCAATATGGAAAGTAATTGGTGAACATGGCACTAAGTGAAGTTATAATCAGAGAACAGCCACAGAACACAACTCTGGACATAACCAAGTCTTTAGCGAGTGACTCGAAAGTTAGCTTTCCAAGAAAGCCAGCGAAGGAGGGCATTAGGATCAAGGAAACAAGATCTAGTTTTTAGAGTAGGGCTATTTGTTATGGAATTGTTTGGAATATTATATTGTATTTTATGGGTTTAAATCATGAAATTCATTTGTATCATGTATATCATTAACTCGTATCGTTGATTCGGATATAGACATTGATGGAGCGAGAGAAGGTTGGTCGGAAGTTGAAAATAAGCAAGCAAGCAAGTAGTATATATATACCGCGAAAGATTAAAAGTAAATAAGAGTACTTACCTAGGTGCAGTAAAGTCAATAGTTTAACATCCTCCATTCCTCTCTCCCCTCTCCTCTCATACGCACTCACACAGTCTCTATATGCCCTCTCCACCTCCACCTCTCCACCTCCTCTCAAATACCTCCAACTTCTTTACAAGTTCAACGGGCTCCACCAAACTAATTCACGTCCCGGACATCCTCCGAACCAATAATGCTTGCAATCTACTCAGTGCGATACTATTTCTAGTCAACTCTCTACGAGTTCCATCCGTGCCCACGTGTGTGAAGGGGGATGTGGATGCAGTTTCCTCTTTGAACCTACAGGGTGGACATAAGGAGTCGAGGGACTCGACTCCTTGCGGTGGAGAGGTTTCAAAGCAGCCGCTGTGGACATTGTTGTCGATGGCCCAATGGCAGCGGGAGGAAATCTTTCGTTTACCATAGTGTCCGCAGGAGTGGCTGGTGTGGGTGCTCTGGCACATTATTAGGGTGGTAGTGATTGTGAGTGTAGTGATATTACCATGGATGTTAGTGTTGATATCAACATTAGCATTAGCACTTATATTCGATATTACTGGTGTTGGTGTTGGTGTTGGTATTGGTCTTGATAATGGTATGTATAGGTATCCAAATCGAAGATTTTGATTGGAAGAGGGGAAAGGGGGGAAGGGGGTTAAGAATTTATCTCACTGTATTGTTCAGTAACTGAACTGCTTCAGTGTCTCGAGTAGTGAACAATACCAATGTCTCCCGCAGATATCAAATTATATTGCAAACTATAGCTTTAGTAGAAGCTCTCTCATCCTTTGAGAAGCACAATGGACGAAAACATTTCTTTGTATGAGGAACAGAGATAGAACAACGCTTTGTATTTCATTGTTAATGGTGATATTACAGTTAGAGAGTCGTGACTGAACTCCTAGTCTTAAGCTAGGATTAATTGCTAATGTATATCCCACAGATGCTGTTTAGAGGAAGTGAAATTCGGTGATCCAAAGTAAGACCAAGGAACCGAGATTGAAGGTATGAGCTTACTCGATGATCGAAGCATACCTGACAATGAACCTACTATATTCGAACCATAAAATTAGTAAAATTGACCAATTCGAGTAGAGCAACAACAGGTGGATGATTGTAGTATGCGAATGATCAGACAATGTTGAGAAGATTTTTTATTGCGGTTTTTGTAGGCATTGCATGTTCAAAACCACCAGGAATTGGCCTGATGGGAGAATATGCTTTTATGGCCCCGCGGTGTCATCACGAAAACGGAAGACGAAAGTCAACAAGAAGTAGAGAGATTGTCGCACATACCTGATGAAGGAAACCATGTTGTTGCCAGTCCACGATGACATTAGTGAAGCATCTTAGGACTTCATCATCTCTCAGGTCTGAACCTTCCTCTTTTCTCTCTCATGACTTCCACCCTCTGCCTATCTTCCTCAAATCTCTTAACGAGCTCACCAACCTCCTTCTTTCTCTTCTCGCGTCCCTGCCACCTATAGAATCCTGCGTCCTCTAATTCTTTCCTCCTCCTCTCCTCTTTCTCAGCCATCTCTCTCCTCTTTTCTTCCGCCGCCTCACTCCTCGCTGGACCTGTCCTTCCACCCCTTACTACCGTCATGAATCCATCCTCATCCGGCACATTCCTCAATTTCTTCCTTTCCCTCTCCCTCTCTTCTTCCTTACTATTGAAGTTCGTCATGAAACCCTCCACACTCCTTTGTACCGCCAATTTATCAGGGAATCGTAGTTCCTGTCTCTTGGCATATCGCGCACTACCTAGAGTAGGCACCTTTCCTTCTGTACCTGCGCCCCAAACTGGATATTTTGATTCCTTTCCTGATTTACAAGTCTTTCGTACAGCCTTTAGCACCGATTCCACGCTCTTCTCATCTACCAATAATACCACAGCCGTTCTTCCTTTAATGCGCAATTGTCTATCCCATCCTTGTGGTAAACTTGTATCAATTTCGGCTTCGCTTCCTCTCTTCCTTTTCTTGCTCTGCGAAATAGTTTCGATTTGTTTCTGCGCAGTAATGTCTTCCTTTTCTCCATCGAATCGCACTCCTTCAACTCGTCCTACGCCAATCAATGCTGTGAATATGCTTCGAATATGAACATCTGTGGAATCGATGGGTAGGTTTGTTGCGAAGAGACTCCGTGAATCATTCTCGGTCGAAATCTTTGGAGCATGTTGTCGCAGATATATATGGTGTGTGGTTGTGACGGGGTATGCGTGTGTGGAGGGAATTGAGATGGGAAGGACAGCATAGTTTTCGCCTATGGTTGTTGGTGTTTTCGACATATTGTAATGTATACCTATATCATACGTGCATGCGAGGTAGAAATCTAGATTTGGTGTGTAAAATGATATCGAGGTTGATTGTTTCAATTGAGTTTGTATCTAGGAACTTTTTTTGAAGCAAAAATAATTGGCAGGGGTGTGTATCTAATCGAACGACGCTAAGCTAAGCCCAAAGCTACTTTTACAGCATTCCTCCTCATCCTTCTGATATACAATTGAAATCGATGCTAGTGTTTATCCATTCAATCGTTATGTGTTATTACGCCCGCCCAGTGCAATGATGCCATTCGATAATTCAGGGTCGTAAGTACCGGTATGTATATGTGGTACATGTGTGATGTTTAACGTCGAGGTCGAAAGACGGAGAATAAATGACAGTATTAGGCCTTCTCAGGATCATTGATACCACCAGTGGTAATGATATAGGTTGCTTCGCGTTCAGGACAATCTGATATCCACTGTTAGTACAAGTGACTGAGGAGGAATCAGATATGCCCTACCAGGAGAATCTACAACTTTGGCAACACGTTCTTCTCCACGACCCTTTCTCAGAAGAATTCTAGTTGTCGATGCATGTGCAAGAATATGTCCTCCAGCCGGCTTGCGCCCATCGGCTCCAGCAAAAAGGGCGCTGGCACCCGGATCTGACATGACTTGGTTGGTCTGGAAAGTGTCAGTCTGGATTGTTTGTATGATTCTAGAAGGAGAACATACCATAAAGACAACAAGATTGAATTCCTCCGCCATTTGTGTAGCTCTACGAAGAAAGGAGTTAAGGGCACTCTGTCGGTCAGACAGCTCACCACGGCCGATGAAGTCGCTGCGAAACAGTGCCATGATGCTATCAATGATGAGAAGACGATACTCATCTGTGGCAAAATTTTGGGCAAGGCCCTCGAGCATCTCCTGTTGCATCTAATCATCGTCAGTAAAATGTATGGGGCAGTCTCAGCGGATCAAGGGGCATACCTCAGTGTTCTGCGCTCGAGCGTAGACGATGTTCTCGAGGGCTTGATCAGGATCGACGCCGAATCGCTCTGCAATTTCCGCAATTCTTTCTGGACGAAATGTACCTTCAGTGTCTGGACAATGATAATATTAGTGTAATCCGTTACCAGTGTCAAAGTTGTAGTCTCCTACCAATGTATGCCACCTTTCCTTCGGCTCCGCCCATATCCTTTGGAAGTTGAGCAATAACAGCCAGTGTATGTGCCAATTGAGTCTTGCCACATCCTTCAAACTGTCAGCGAGACATAATTTTCAAAGTTTCTGGTCAACTCACTGAATTCTCCGTATACCTCACTAATGCTCATAGTTTGGAAGCCACTGCCAAAAGTCAGCCCTTCCAAGTCAATTGACACAAGGTAGACCAACTCACCCGTTGAGACAAGCGTCCAACTGCTTGCTACCAGTGGAGATCCTAATGCACTTCTTACGGAAGTGACCATGCTCAGCGGCAGTGACGAATTGCCCACCAGCGTTAGGACCCTACCCTATTTTAGCAGATAGGACAGAATTTAAAGTGAGTTGATACTCACGGCTACCTTCTTTGCAGCTTCCTTAACCTTCTCGACCTTTATGTCAGAGAAACCCTTGATTCTGACCAATCTTCGGTTGGTTGTGCCAATAAGTGTCTGAAGTGAGGTCAGTTGCCACGTTCTGGGTCAACGTTTCTTAGACGGAAAGATATGTTCTTACCCCGACAGTATGAATACCGTTGGATCTCAATTTTGCGATATCTGCAGCAGAAATGCCTGTTTTGGTTGGTTCCTGATGTTGCTGACAAGTCAAGAGTGTTTCAGCGCTTACCATGTGCTTGGATCTCCTCAATATCGACGATAGTACTCTACAAGATGGGTATCAGTGAAGTGTATATTTCCCATGAGACAGAACAAGAGTTACCTCAAGCTCATTTGCATCACCACAAAGTGAAGCTGCGATAGCCATAATGACAATATCCTGACGTCGAGTTTTTGATGGATAAGAATTCTACACGACAATGCTTATTCTTTACGGGTCTCTCACAGCCGATATTGAAGCTGGAAATTGGTGAAGGGGAGTTTCGATGAGAAGTTTGGATGAGAAGTTGAAAGTGAAGCTAGGTACCACACACAGTTTAGTAATCAATCACACTTCAGACGACTCCCATTTCTTTCTCCATTGTCACTAGAAGAAGATCATCATTCTCAAGGGGGGGACTCACTGTCTTAACAGAAATGAATTCATCCACAGTTTAAGATGGTTATTATCTATGCTTTCAGATCGGAAATAAGTAAAGATTTGCAAAAGAGGAAAGGAAGTTGAGGGCATACGAGAATAAACCTGTTGTCAAGATAGTTGATAGGCAACTATAAAGAGATGAAAATCTTGGGACGAAAAGTCGAATATCCAGATGAAGAATGAAAAATCTTTCGAAGTTTGAAAGTTAAAGTTAAGTTAAGTTGAGTTGAAGGTGAAGGTGAAAGGTGAAAGTTAAAGTGAAGATGAAGATGAAGCTCTAAAGAAAATGGCGCTAAGCTTAATCAACCGCCAAGCGCCATTCGTCCCAACTTGGATATATTCTCATAAAACACCACTTCTTTCACATACGACCATAGACTGAAGAGAATTGGGCATCCCGTCCGCTCTGCCATACACAAGCTTCAGATCGGTGGATTAGTAGTTGGGTGGGTGACCACCAGCGAATCCCCACTGTTGTATGTTTTTTATTTTTGCTTTTGCTTTTGTTTTGGAGGTATGAGGATCCTGCCTTTTGCCTTGGGTTTTCTCTGCAAATGTACAACAGAATATGAATTAGATGAGAAGGTTGGTACAGCAATGAGTGAAGTTCATTATGCTTATATTGGGTTGATCATGCGCTGTTGTAAGACTTATTACATCTGGCACGGTTCGTGCTTCGACATCGTATATGTAACCATGGAAGAATGAATACCTACCTATTTTTCAAATCTGGGTCATGAAGCGGCTAGATTAGATCTGTATCCAGTGATGCGCCCTTTTTGCACATTGTTGTTGCATGTTGTTGTTGCCAGATTATTTTTGTTGTTGATATTTCCCATCTATCTCTCGTGCAGCAAGAATATAGTGCCTGCTGTTCCGACCATTGACCAGTCCCAGTCAAGAGATTGACGGGCTTCTTTCTGGTTGTAAATTTGAGGGCTTTTGAGATGGAAATTTGATCAAAACTAAGTGGAAATTGATAAATCGGGGCCCCCGAAAGTTTCGTATTGTATGTAATTTTGTGGTACTGCTTAAGGTCTACACTACTCTTTTCTTTGGTTTTATAAGGATTCTCATCCACGGATTTGGTACAACATTGGTCCCCCACGAGAAGGTAGGCGATGCCTTTTCGTCAACCAACTTCATGTCGTAGTTCATTAGAACATGGGCTACCATCATTTTTACCATCATCGTGGCGTAGAACCGACCGGGGCTTTGAAATGTCAGTTTGGATCACAAATTGGTATGCTTATGAGTTTGAGCAAGGTCAAGGAAAACCCATAGACGTACCAAGCGTGGGCGACAGACCCCCAAAATGGAAATATATAGCTAGGATGCGAAAGCCGAGTGTAAGATTCTGGCGCTAAATTGTCCCGAACCTGCACGAAACGGAATCCGTCAAATTCGGCGGGATTAGGATCGTACTTAGGATCGAGCATGAGAGCTTGCTGAGGTACTCGAATGTAGTTCTGGGCTGGGACATGAGTTCCATCGGTAAACGTGAAGGGCGACAGAACTTTGCGGTCCAGACTCCCTGCCAGTGCTTTGATTAATAAAAGATGCCCGAGACTTGAAAATGGTGCGTTAGTTCACTCACCACTTTGTAAAGGGTGAAGCCTTGCAACTTCTTTGAGAAAACTATCTAAAAGTGGTGTGTTCCATTTCATGGTTCCGCAGAGTTGTTCTGGGCTTGAGGTGGTAATCTCCATTCGTAGAGGCTGAAGGTATTGTGGATATTTGCAGAGGCAATATAGCACAAATGCCATGAACTTGTCAAAATTGATCATCAGCTTTTAATTTCAAATCGATTTGATGCGACATTCCCAATAGTTAAGTGTGCTTTAAAGCACAGCATTGTCATTGTCTCGAAAGTCTGAGAAGGAGTAATTTGATATCTTTGATTGATTGATTTAATTTACGTCCATCTTCAGTCTAAGACTATATAGGACGGCTAGACCCTATAGGCACTAGCAGATAACTTTTTATTTTACAAAAATAGATATATTCGATTTGGGGAAGTGAAAACAAATGCTGGGGACCAATACCCGCTTATTGTACACATTGCATATAATAAAAAAATATAAATATCAAAGATTATAAGAAGATTACTTTTCTACCCTCTCTTTCCTTCATTACTACTTCTTCCTCTTCCACTATTGTTACTACTTCTTCCTCTTCTACTACTTCTTCCTCTTCAATTACTTTTTTCTCTTCCATTACTATTTCTTTCTCTGTTTCTTTTTGTTCAAGAACTCTTGCTATTGATTGATTGATTTAATTT